CCCCAAAACCCCAAAACCCCAAAACCCCAAAACCCCACTTCCGCTACAAGAATTGAAACATTATTGATAAATTACAAAAAGCGCTACTGTAGGTAGCCTACAGGTACGGTTTTTACAAATCTTAACATATTGTTAATCAAGGACGATGTCTTGCTCTGAAGGAAGACTGGGTCACGCAGGGAATTGGGCGTATTGTTCAGCAGTGAGGGAGTGGAGATAGGTCATTTCTTGCAGAAGTTTGGAAGGGTCCACATCTGACTGGAGGTGGCATTGGTTTTGGGGGATTTGGAGAGGAGAGCTGTGGGTGATGTAGCAAGCATTATTTGAGATAAACTAAGGTCAAAAGGCAGTTGCCTTTTGACATTAAGAAAGCATTCAAACTCTTCTGAGTATAGTTATTAATCAGATTTCTAGAAACCGTGAAGTCCATTCCTTTAGTTGCATTTTCTTTCTTATTTATAGCGATCATTGAGAATAAGCAGCTGGAGGGATTCCACCAGAATCTTACTGACACCATGTGTCAGTGGCTCTGAGTAAGAATCGAAGATGGGTTCTTGTTCAATGCACTCATAAAAATAGCGATCAAGTTCTTCACGAGACAGCTGTTTGATTTTACGCTTGAAGTTGTATTTATTTTACATAGGCATCGAATTGATCTTTGAAGAATTTCTTCATCATTCTAAATGTCTTGCGCTGGAGCAAGTAATAAGATTCCGTAGTCTTTGGTTTGGTCCTTCTTTTCGGTAACTTTGGGGATGGAGCTGGGCTCAAACTTAAAGGTTCCTCGAGGTTGGAAATATCTATAATTTGTGCATCATTTGTAGCAGCTTCATCTTTTGTCAACACTGAGCTTGGAGCTTTCAAGCTTCAGTCCTTATTGGAACCTTTCTTGGTATCTTTCTCAGTAGTTTTAATTGAAGGTAAGCAAGGTTTAAGAGGGGAATTTCAACTATGGTCTACACAATACGAAACCATGCCTATTTGTGATCATCTAGAAATATGCTCACTTTGTCAGAAATCTCCTTGGAATGATCCCTTTCTAGTTACAACTTCAGGATCCTTATCAAACATAGATGGAGTGAGAAGAGTAGAGTCTCAACCATGATAACTGATCTTTCTTTTTGGCATATTTCACGAAGGCATACTCTCTTTCAACCCCTTTGGTGGTGTATTATCTTTGAAATGCAAGAATTTTATAACTCATCAAATTCATTTTGATTGTTCACTAAGTCAATAGATTCGTTCATGACTGACTTCCATGAACTAAGATTCTGATCGTAATCTCTGTTAAAGTTTCTGCCCTGGATACTTCCACATATAGGATAAGAGCTGGTTTTTATGAATTGGGGCTCTATGAAATAATCTTTATCTTCTTCAAGTTTGGGGAGTTTCTCCTCTTCAAGATCTTTATCATTATTTTCAAAGAACTCTCATTGGCTGAAATTGTCATCCCAGTTATTTTCCTTGGTCTCTTCTTGGGGCTGGTTCCTGTTCTGATCATTACTATATGCTCTTTGCATGTTGAGGTCGAGGTCTTCTCCGAAGATAGAGAGGCCATCAATTGTGCTCAAATCACCCATGAATTCCTCGTTTTTGAAACCTAAAGAATATGAATTTGTCCAAAATGATGGAGAATAAATTATTACCTTTCTTCTGACTTCATCAGATTGGAGCAGCTTCTTCCTTCTGAGCTTCCTGCCCAATTTCGTCTTCAAAATCGTAATCAGCATAATCTATTTCTATCGGGAATCTAAAGGGGTTATTTATGATAAAGAGGCTTACTCATCAAGCTCATCTTCGGAATAGTATCTTTCACGTCGGAAATATGGGTTCTGAAGATTATCTTCAAAATCATTTTGACCGTAAAAGTTAATTTGTTCCTCGTCTATAGGTGAACTTATTGATGTACCTGAATAATTGTCACATTCTGAGTATGAAAACCGCGAGCTTCTTCCTAGATATCTCCAATGATGTTCATGCTTGTCCTCTTCATATGCCCTTTTCATAAAGGAGGAGGCTGCTTGTTCTCTAAAATTTCTACCTCCATTGCTTCTATAATGTATTAGAAACAAAAGATTTTTGAACATTATCTTCAAAAGTTTGGAGAAAAATCAAAGATCAGTCAAAAATTTCACTATCCCCAAAAATTCCATCATCCCAGTCAAGATCCCCTCTCTAGTCTCCATCCCCACCCAAATTCCCAAAAATTCCCCAAAGATCCCCTTCTCTAACCTAAAATCAAAGATTTTTGTTAACAAAAAATCATAAAAACATATACTTACCTGTCTAAAAACTCAAAATTCCTTGCCCCACTTTTACAGGAGCTACTCCTATCGGAGGAGTCTTCTTTAGGCCTCCTTCTATCACGCGTGGTTCTGTCAATACGGAAGATGCGTTCTGGGTGCTGCTTCGGGGGGTCTCTGTTGTTCTTCTTACTCATATTGAATAAATATTACAATTTGATAATTCTATAAATAAGGTAAGCAGCGGGGTTTTGGGGTTTTGGGGTTTTGGGGTTTTGGGGTTTTGGGG